CCTCCTCCCCCTCCCCCTTCCTCCAGGGTCCATATGGCGGTGCCGCCCCAGTTTGGCACATCCTTCACACAGTTCTTGGCCCCACAGGGAGAACAGCCGCAGGCCCCGGCGGCGGGGTCCACATGGCGCCGCCCAGCTTTGGCGCACCCCGCGCGCGTGGGCCCACGGGGAGTTCCACCGAGGGCCCCGGTGGCAGGGTCCCACACGCGGTTCTGGCTCGCATGGCGGTGTCGCCCCATTTTGTACGCACCCCTCACGCGGCTTGTGGCCCCATAGGGAGCTCCTCCGAAAGCGGTGCCACAACATGGTTTTCACAACTGTATATAGTTGTTTTTTCTTCGCCAAGCGTTTTATTTCCAGGTCTTCGTTGGAGGACTTTTGGGGTGCCTCTTTTTCCCAACCAGACTTTGTTGAGTTTGGTCTTTGTTTTGAATCAGCAGCGTCCAGCGTCCTCTCCTCTCCTTTCCACCTCCCTCTTGCCTCCTCCCATTCCTGCCTCAGCCGTGCGCATGTCTATTCCGGCACACCCCTCACACGTGTTGTGGCCCCACCGGGAGCTTCACCAAAAACCCAATTGGGCAGTGCCCGCATGGCGCCACCGCACCAATTTCGTGACCCCATAGGGAGCCCAACCGAAGGCCCCCATGGCAGCACCCGCATTGCGCCACCGCACACAGTTCGGTACAGCACTCACACGTTTCGTTGCCCCATGGGGAGCACCACCGACCGCCCAACTGTAGCGCCCGCATGGCGCCAAGGCATTCATTCCGGTACACCACTCACACGTTTCGTTGCCCCACAAGTGAGTTTCGCCGAAGGCCTAAAGTTCTCGCCCACATGGCGCCACCGCAGCAAATGTCGGCACACCCCTCACACGTTTCGTGGCTCCATAGGGAGCCCCATCGAAGGGCCAAATGGCAGCGCCCGCATGGCAGCACTGCCCCCCTTCTTCCCATCCGCCCTGCGGCAATCGTACCTGCATAGGATTGGGTCCTTCGCTTGGATACTTCCTAACCATCAAGTGGTGTCGGTCACTAGCCCAAAACATACCCGGACCCAGGGTCAGCTGGGGTGAAAAGGGCCGCCCGCTAGAGCGTTTTCGGCCTTGCCGCCACCTCGTCTGGGTACGGGTCGGTGCCCGAAACAACCATATATACCCGGACCTAGCTGGGGTGGTGGTTGGGTCACCCCGTCTAGGTACGGGTATGTATGGTGGTTTCGGGAGCCGACCCGGACCCAGGGGGGGTGATGCCCCGAGGGCCCCTTGCCACCCCGTCTGGGTAAGGGTACGGGTATCTTTCGCGCTCGAGAGTCGGGTCTTCGGGGCGGAGGAGAGCACTGGGCGGAAGTTGCACTGGGCCGCTGGGGAACGCTGAAGAGAAACGGGATGGGGGGCGGGCAGGAGGGGCGCGGTGCGACGCGGAGTACAATTATCGGTGCGGAGGAGGCATTGGGCGGTGGTTCCACTGGGCCGTTGGGGAACGCTGGGGCGGGGGGAGGGTGGCGGGGGAAGGGGGGGGTGCGGCGGGGCGGGGCGCGAAGTGACGTGGAATAACACGGTCGGGGTGGAGGGGTGGGGGCATTGGGCGGATGTTCTGATGGGCCGCTGAACTCTGGGGTGGGGGGCGTGGGAAGGGAGGGGCGGGGAATGAGGGGAAAGGTGCGGCGGAACGCCGAGAAGGGGTGGGACAGCGGGGGGGTAGGGGGCAGTGAGCGGGGCTCCCATTGGGGCGCTGGGGACGCGGGTGGGCTCGGGGCAGAGGGCCGCGGATCGGGGGTCCCACTGTGGCGCTGGGGACGTGGGGGGAGGGGCGGGGGCGGTGGGTGTGCGACGCGGAATAGAGCGTTCGTGGCGGAGGGGGCAGTGAGCGGGGCTTGGGGCGCTGGGGACGCGGGGGTGCTCGGGCAGAGGGCCGCGGCGGGGGGGCGCAGAGTGTGCGACGCGGGCGTTCGGGGGAGACGCTCGGGGCAGAGGGGGAGCGTGGGGGGAAGGTGGGTGTGCGCGGAATAGAGCGTTCGTGGCGGAGGGGGCAATGGGCGGGGCTCCCACTGGGGCGCTGGGGATCGGGGCAGAGGGCCGCGGAGCGGGGGTCCACTGTGGCGCTGGGGACGCGGGGGGGGGGCGGGGGTGGGTGGGTGTGCGATGCGGAATAGAGCGTTCGTGGCGGAGGGGGCAATGAGCGGGGCCCACTGGGGCGCTGGGGACGCGGGGGGGGGGGGCAGAGGGCCGCGGAAGCGGGGGTCCCATTGGCGCTGGGGACGTGGGGGAGGGGCGGGGGGAGGTGGGTGTGCGACGCGGAATAAAGCGTTCGTGGCGGAGGGGGCAATGGAATAGACGCGGGGGAGGGGGGTGTGCGACGCGGAATAAAGCGTTCGTGGCGGAGGGGGCAATGGGCGGGGCTCCCACTGGGGCGCTGGGGACGCGGGGGGCTCGGGGCAGAGGGCCGCGGAGCGGGGGTCCCACTGTGGCGCGGGGACGCGGGGGGAGGGGGGAGGTGGGTGTGCGACGCGGAATGAAGCGTTCGTGGCGGAGGGGGCAATGGGCGGGGCTACCGCTGGGGCGCTGGGGACGCGGGGGGCTCGGGGCAGAGGGCCGCGGAGCGGGAGTCCCTGGGGACGCGGGGGGAGGGGCGGAGGGGAGTTGGGTGTGCGACGCGGAATAAAACGTTCGTGGCGGAGGGGGCAATGGGCGGGGCTCCCACTGGGCGCTGGGACGCGGAGGGGCTCGGGGCAGAGGGCCGCGGAGCGGGGGTCCCACTGTGGCGCTGGGGACGCGGGGGGAGGGGCGGGGGGAGGTGGGTGTGCGACGCGGAATAAAGCGTTCGTGGCGGAGGGGGCAATGAGCGGGGCTCCCATTGGGGCGCTGGGGACGCGGGGGGGGGCTCGGGGCAGAGGGCCGCGGAGCGGGGGTTTCATTGTGGCGCTGGGGACGTGGGGGGGAGGGGCGGGGGGAGGTGGGTGTGCGACGCGGAATAGAGCGTTCGTGGCGGAGGGGGCAATTAGCGGGGCTCCCACTGGGGCGCTGGGGACGCGGGAGGGCTCGGGGCAGAGGGCCGCGGAGCGGGGGTCCCATTGTGGCGCTGGGGACGTGGGGGGAGGGGCGGGGGGAGGTGGGTGTGCGACGAGGAATAGAGCGTTCGTGGCGGAGGGGGCAATGAGCGGGGCTCCCACTGGGGCGCTGGGGGCGCGGGGGGGGCTCGGGGCAGAGGGCCGCGGAGCGGGGGTCCCATTGTGGCGCTGGGGACGCGGGGGGAGGGGCGGGGGGGAGGTGAGTGTGCGACGCGGAATACAGTGGTTGGAGCTCTAGGCACTCTGTGCAAGAGAATATCGTGTGGGGTTCCACCGTCGGAGCAATTGAGATTGCCTTGGTCCTTCTCCTTGGCCCACTTCGCTCCTCCTCCTTATCAGCCTATCCAGCTGCCTGCGGCAAGCCCTCTCAACGTGCCTATGCAACACCGTAGCTGGAAGGAGTTTGAATTCTGAACGTTTCGCGTGTCCCCGCCAGCCCATCCAGGAACGACGCCCACGGGGAGCTAGCTACCCTTCTCGGGGAACGTGGCATCTTTGGGGGAACTCGGGGGGCCTCCGTGGGCCAGAGGCTTCTTGGACGCCTCTCGGAGTCTCTCGGAATGTCTCTCGGGCTCTCCTCCGCGTCTTGGGGGCCTCCGTGGGCCAGAGGCCTCTTGGGGCGTCTTGGGGTCCTCCTGGCGACTCTTGGGGGCCTCGCGGGGCACCCTGGTAGCCTCTTGAAGGCCTCAAAGGACGTTTTGGGGGCCTCTTGGCGGTTTTCGTAGCTTCTTGGGCTGGCTGGGGGGCCCCATGGGGCCTCGAGTCGGCATCCCTCGGGGCGGCTGTTCTGAACTCCGCCGGTGCTGGTGTCAACCTCTAGGCCTCCAAAGGGGGGTCTGGGGAGGCGGGGGCTGGTACTGGTTCATGCTTGTTTCGTTGCCACGAGCCCGAGAAAACCCGGCCCCGGAGGCCCCGGGGCCGAAGCACGCCGGGGGCCACGGAGGCACGCTGAGGGCCCCGCCCCCTCCCGGAGCCTCCCTGGTGCGTCCCTGGAGCCCCCCTGGAGTCTTCCCCGAAGCCCCCGGACCCACCGCAGAAGTTCTGGATTTGCCAGATGAGCCGCGCAAAGAAACGGGGCCGTCTTCACCGACATTCGCGCGTCAGCTGCCCGCGCAAGCTCGCGCGGAAGTGTCCTCGTCTCCAAAGTGGCGTGCCGCGCTGGCGGCCCGCGTTGGCTGCGGCGTGAGGTCGCTACTCCACCTTGCGTAAGGCCCGTTTCTGATCGTCGCTCAGATGGCTGCCGGCTTGCTCCAGGACGGCCCAAGACTGCCTCACGACTTCTAAGAGGTCCCCAAGACTCCCCAAGTCGGGGGTGGACAGAACCCCCAACAGTGACACGTCGATTAGTGAATTGTCCGTTTTCGGTTCTCGAGCGGGCGCCGCGGCCGTTATTTTCCAGGCTTGCGCCCGCCAGGTTTGGGCCTCAGGTCGTTTTCACCAAACCACGTTTTACTAAAGGGAGGTCTGTCCATCCCCGACCGAGGCGGCTCCACGAGAACCTCCGTAGCCATTTGGCTCACGACATTTTGTGATTCAAGCGAGTCTGCTCTGCACCGCGTTCCCGCCAGTCGGGCACGCGGCCCCGGTGTGCGGAGAGACGCTGGGGCCATGATCTCCGGCGGCGCGTGGGCCGAGCTGTGCGCCAAGGAGACGAAGTGGCTGTGCCGGTACGCCGTGGAGCGCGGCCTGACGGCCCAGGACGTGGACGCGCTGCCGTCGAGGACCGCGGAGAATCGGGCCGGGCGAAAGGAGGGGATTGGGAAAGGGGGGGTTACGAAATTTGCTGCATGCAGCTGGTTTCGGCCTCACCGAGGGGCCCATTCCTCGATACATGGCTGCCTCCAGCGCCGGGAGGCGCCAGGAAAGTCAGCTACGTGAGCTGATTCTCAACCCCTCCCTTTACTATCCCCCCCTTTCGCCCGACCCGAGAGAAGCCCTATACCTCCCTGCCGCGCGTGGCGTCAGTTCCCGGCGGCGTGGGCCACGGCGGCGACGGCTCCTACACCATGAAGCCGAACCAGTGGGTGCCCCCCACGGACGGCAGCGTGTCTCCGAAGCCGTCCCGCGGCACGCGGGGCCTGCATCCATCCCAGGCGCACGCGCTGTCTGGCAAGTCGCCGATGTCCTACTGGCAGAACGACCAATCGCACCCCGTGGGTTTGAGGAAGGCACACTCGGCGTCCCTGAAGGCCCTGCCGCTGCAGGCCTCTGAAAGTACCGGCAGAGTCAAGGGTGCACCTGACGCCCTTCCCGACGAGGCCATGCCGAAGATCGACGCGGCAAAGATGGACGAGCTGGGTGTCACCTCGCCTCAGTTTCGGAGCAGGCGTCGGGGCATGGTGGCGAACCAGAACCCCGTGGGTGGCTTTCAGTTCATGTGGCCGCAGGATATCCCTGGCGGCCGGCGGTGGTGAATGCCTGCGCGAGATCACCGCTGGCTCAGGGCAACAGCCGCCTGGGGGAGTTGTCCGAGGGGACCCCGATCGGTGACCACATGGGGCAAGGCGTCCTTCAGGGCAGCTGGCCGATATTTTTTTCTTGCGTGTCCGCCGGAGGCGGCAACCGCAGAGTACACAAAGTTTCTGGTCGCGAGATACACGTGGGGTGCTTGCGCAGCTTGTCGCTTCAACTGCAGCAGTCAGGGCCAGGAGATGGCCACGGAGGAGCCTGGAGGGCAAAGAGGGCCGTTCTTCGACGAGGCCCAGCGCCTTGACACGGTTCGAGATTTCACAGACTTGGATCAGGGAGCGTGGACGAGCGACGTGCAGACCCAGCTTCTCTCGTGTCAGACGCCGGCTCCGCGAAGTGTGACCGGCGCAGTCAGAAGGTACTTTCCCTTCCCCCTCCCTTCTTCGTTCGAGAAGCGCGCGTGCTGCAGCACGAGCACGCGCAGTTTTGCGAGAGCTCCGTTCGGGATCACTAGGCCCGGGTCGCGAGACATTTTCACAGCTCCTCGCTTCCGCCTTCGGCCGGGGCCAGGCTGGGGGGGGCAGGGCCAGGGGCCCCCCTCTGTCTGGCGAGGCCCCGCGCCCCAGCTCGGTGCCGAGTGCAGGAACACATCTTCCGGCGGCGGCCGAGCCCGCCTCGCCCCGCTGCCCGCTCGGGCGCCCCCTGGCAAAGCCTCGGCGGCTCCCGACCTCCTCGGCCCTCCCGCTCGCCTGCGGGGGGGACTGTGCTCCGGGGAGGCGGCAGCACCGCTCACCGATGGGCCGTCCACCACGCCTGCAGGGTGGGCTCTCTCTTTTCTTCCGTGCGCCTCAGCTTTCGCCTCGGCTTCGGCTGTGGGTGCACCGCGAAGCGCCTTCGGCATGCTAGTAGCTCACCCAAGCTCACATGGGTGCCTCCCTTTCCGCTCTCCTGCTTCTGCTCCCTTGTGTAGGATGCTCGGTCCGCCCCTGGCGGAGCCGGGACGCCCCAGACCTAGGCTCAGGAGCGGCCTTGCAACGCAAGCGCCCGCTTTCTTGACGCAGTCCACATGCTTCGCGCGCGTTTCCGTATGGGAGCGAAAAGTAACATAAATATAACAGCTCGGAGGCCCGCGCGGATTTCTCGCATCCGCGCCCCTGGCGTGCGGAGCGCGCCGGGGGGCCCCGGCGCCGATCCGAGAAATCCGCGCGGGCCTCCGAGCTTTTATGTTTCTGCCATTTTTCGCTCCCCTGTTCTGGGACATTACCGGCCTGGAACATATCCCTATCCCTATGCTGGGCATCTCCTCATCACGATGCCAATCTTAGGGATTTCCTGTTTTTGTGAGGGTGAATCCCTAAGATTGTCATCGCCTTTTGGCGTGTCAATCTTAGGGATAGGGATAAGTTCGAGGCTGGAAAGGACAGCCCCTCGCGCCCCGGTCCTCCCTGCCCTGCTGCACCTTCTTCGCTCCGGTGGGGCGCGCCGCGCCTCCCTCCGTCGGGGGCCCCCAAAGAGGGTGGTGACCACACCGTGTGGTGAGTCGGTGGGGATGCGGGGTCACCGCACGGTTTTGGGACTCGAGGCCTTCTCCGAGGACGTCTCGGGCGACTGGGGCCTCCAGGGTCCCAAAACCGTGCGGTGACGGACCGCCCAAGAAATGTGGACGTTTGGCCAACATGTTGTTTTTCGAATAGTTTTGTTGTTGTTGTTGAACATTATTACTTCTAAAGAATAATTATTGTTGGGACCCCTGGTGCACGACCCCCCCGCCGCGCCTAGGCCGCAGCCTCATTTTCATCATTTTCGTGAGGAAGTCTCAGGCAAAACGGGGGAGTCCGGATCCGGTTGTGTTGTTACGATCGGTTTTCCCTTGCAAAAAATAAGCTAAAGTGGACATTTCTTGTTCTAACATAACCAAACTTCAAGAATCCCTTGCAAAAAATAAGGTAAAGTGGACATTCGCGCGCGCAAGACGAAATCCTTCCAAAACCTTAGTGTTCGTAGCGATTTTAACATAAAAACATCAAAAAACCAATGGTTTTTCAAAAAAAAATTGTCAAAATTTCATCCCGCGCGCTCTTGCGGATTCGTAGGAAACCCAACACTTTTTAAACATTTCTGTCAAACGGGCTTTTGCGAGCAACTTCACGTGCTTCGAACTTCTCCAACAACGGTTGCGCACCTGCCAGGGCCATCATCCCTGTCAAATAATACCATGCGGGACACATTCGTTTTTTCTTCGCGCGCGCACGCCGAAATCTTCAAAAACCATTGGGTTTCTTAGGAATTTTAGCACCGCGCAACATAAAATCATACGAATCGCACCGTAGGTCCTCGAAAAACATCTGTACGAATTTTCAAAATTTCTACCCGCGCGCGCTGTCCGAATCCTAAAAAACCAATGGTTTTTCAACATTTATGTTACATGAGCTCGCGCGAGCTACTTTCGCAAGCTCTTTCAACGGCGTTCGCGCGCCTGCCAGGGGCCACAATCCCTTGCAAAACATCCCATGCGCCAGTGTAGTAGCCACGGTCGTCCGCAGGCCACGAAGTGAAGTGTCCGAACGTCATAGGGCGGGAAGCTGGGTGTGGGTGGTGGCGAAGAGTCGTTTGGAAATGTGGTAGAGCTTGAACCGGCCCCCCCACAAAGTGGGGGTATTGGCGGGCGTCGTATGAAAACCCTGGCACTGGTGAGAACGGAGTGTCCCCACGTGCTAGTAATTGTTGTTGTTGTTGTTGTTGTTGTTGTTGTTGTTGTTGTTGTTGTTGGTTTTTCGTATTAAAAATGTTTTCCACGATCAAAGTAACCCTGTACGTGAATAATATTGCCGCTGCTTCAAATCATCCTTGTCCTTTCGGCGGCGTTAAAGGTCAATTTCTTCGTAAACACGCTCTCTGCTGGGTGAGGTCTTGGGGGATTTCGAGGTCACCGCACGGCCCGTCACCGCACCGCTTCGGGATTCCACGATCCGGCGGTGCCACGCCTTCCCCCCGGCGGGTCGAGTGCGCCCCGGCTCTCCGTGTCGGTCGCGCCCGGCGTCGGTCAGGAGGGGAAAAACACACAGACTCAAGTAATCGTCGATTCCCAGGAAAGATGGGAAACTATGGGAAGTGGGGGGGAGACGAACACCCAGAAAATATGGGAAACTATGGGGAATCCTGTTATTTGTGTGTGTGTATCTATTTGCGTGTCCCAGGGCCCCTTCCGTCGGGGGCGTGGCGCGCCGCCGAGGCACGCCGTGCAGCTGCGCGGCGCCCCCTCCTGGCGGCCAGCGCCCGCAGGGGCCTCTGTGTTCGTCGGGTGGCGCGTGCGCCGACTTTCGAGTCGGGCATGTCCCTCTACAGGAGGGATATTCAAAAACAGTCAGAAATTAGTCAGGGAATGTTTTGTTGACTATGTTCGGACATTTATTATATTTTCCCGGTTTTATTTCATATTTTTTCAACATCCGCCTGTAGGATGACATGCCCGACTTAAGCCGACGTGCGTCGGTTTTGCTGCCCTCCAGCGGCACGCGCCGGTGGATCGGAGGGCGCCAGCATGCGCCTGCACCGATCTCGAAGAAGCAATCGCGGCATCAGCACACGCATACACACATATATACATACATACATACATACATGCATACATACATACGGTAGGTTCGTGTCGTGTCGACCGGCGGCGACCCCGCCGCCGGCGTTCAACGTTGAACGCCGGCGGCGGCCCAGAATCGGTCGATGTTGAACGATTGGACGTTGCGGAGACGGCCGATCGTTCAAGGTTGAACGATCCAGCGCGGTGTCAGGAACCAACGCCAGGGTCGACACGGCACGGACCTGCAGTACATACATACATACATACATACATACATACATACATACATACATACATACATACATACACACACACATACATACATACACACACATACATACATACATTCATACATACATACATGCATACATACAATCATACATACATACATACATACAAACATACATGCATGTAGGCATGCCTGCATGCATACATACATACATACATACATACATATACACAGACATACATGCATGCATACATTCATACATACATACATACATACATACATGCACACACATACATACATACACACATACATACATACATACACACATACACATACATACATACATACACACATACATACATACATACATACACACATACATACATACATACATACATACATACACATACACATACACATACATACATACATACATACATACATGCATACATACATACACACACATACATACAAACATACATACATACATACATGCATGCATGCATGCATACACACACATACATACATACATACATACATACATGCATACATACATGTATACACATATACATACATACATACATACATACATGCATGCATGCATGCATGCATGCATGCATGCATGCATGCATGCATACATACATACATACATACATTCATACACACATACATACATGCATACATGCATGCATACATGCATACAGGCATACATGCATACATACATACAACCACATCCATCCATCCATCCATCCATCCATCCCATCCATCCATCCATCATATATATTATATATATATATATATATTCATATATATATATATATATATATATATATATATATATATATATTCACACACGCGCATACTTTTTGCGCTCCGCGCCGCGCGCCAGGGAGGGGGATGCAGCGCAGATCCAACAAAACTGCGCGGAGCGCCAAACGTTTATATGTCGACGTCGTTTGTTTCTTCTTTTATGTAGATCGGAGGGCGCCAGCATGCGCCTGCACCGATCTCGAAGAAGCAATAATGGCATCAGCACACACATACACACATGTATATATATATATATATATATATTTATATTCTCTCTCTCTCTGAGTAGGCCAGGGTGGGGGCCCGGGCCGGTGCCATCATCCCCCATGGGCGCCCCCCGGAACCTTTTGGGGGTCGCAGACCCCCTGGGACTGCCCCGGGCCGCTTCCAAATTGCCCACGACAGGCCACGCGGGCCGTACCTGCAGATGGTCAAGAAAGCCTCAAGAGGCCCCGAAGACGCCCAAGAGCGCCCCAAGAGGACCCGAGACGGTTTAAAGATGGCCGACGAGGGCCCCAAGAGGGCCTTCAAGAGGCAAACATCTGCCCATTCCCATAGTAAAACGTACATTTTCAGCATACTCGCTGGCTTCGTCTTCACAGTGCCCCAGATGCCCCCGCGGAGCCCCAAGACAGCCCAAGAGAGACCCAAGAGGGCCCCAGACGGCCCAAAAGGGTCGGCCTGTGGGGCTCACGGAACCCGGCCCAAGAGGCCCCAAAGCCGGCCCAGGAGGCCCCCAAGACGGCCCCCAGGAGGACCAAGAGGGCCTCGTTCGAAATCATGTTCCCAGAAGCCTCTCCGGGACTATGATTTCCGGGTTCCCAACGCCCAAAGACAGCCCCCAGAGGCCCAGACACGCCGAAGATGGCCTCAGGACGGCCGACGACGCCGCCAAAACGCCCCAAGAGCGCCTCCAGAGGCCCCTCCAGAGGGCCCCAGAAGCCGAAAATCATGCGTTTTCCAATTGTTTTTGAAGCATTCTTGCGCTCTCCCATGTTCCGCCTCCCCACGGTCCCGGACCGCGTCAGAGGCCCTTCAGATCGCTCCAAGACGGCCGAAGAGGCTCCCAAGAAAGCCCAGAGACGGCCCAGGAGGCCCCCCAGATAAGTCAAGAGGGCCTCGAGAGCGCCCCAAGAGAGCCCCAAGAGCGACCCAAGAGGGCCCGAAGAGCGCGACATTTCAAGGTCTCCAGCCTGAGTGGCTCCTAGGACGCCCCCGGAGGCCATCAAGAGGCTCCCAAGAAGCCCCGTGAGGCTCCCAAGAGGTCACCCAGAAGCCCCAATAGGCCCCCAAGGGGCCCCCGGATCCTGCTGGACGGATGGCAGCTCGAGGGGTGAGGTGGTCAAGCATAGGAGAACAAAAAGTGGCATAAACATACAAACTCGGAGGTCCGCGCGGATTTCTCGGACGTTCGCGCATAAACATAAATCATAAAAAACCCGGATTTTGTGCTAAGAACATTGCTTTTGTTCCTAGAACCTTTTTAGGTTCTTAGAACGTTTCGTGGTAGGCCTATAAGAATGCCCGGACGATCGGTCCCTGCTAAAAATGGGCGGATCCCGCCCGAAAGGGGTCCCGGCCTGAACGGCAGAACCATCGGGCGCTCGTCGTGCAATGGAGGGCGCTTCTCGCAGTGAGAGGGGGGTGTTCGGAGGGACTGATGAGGAGGGGACTCTGGACGGGGTGGCGTGCTGCGGCGTCGTGGATGCATCGCGTGAGCTCTCTGGTTCTCTCTCTTCCAGCGAGGACAACCACCCGGACCCCGACAACTGGCTTTTACTGAACGGCCCTGGGTGTTTTCTAGACCGCCCGGCCCTGCTCGATTCCTTCCCCGGTTGCGTTTACGAAGCGGCTTCGCGTGTCGGGGTGGTTCGTATGGGGAGGGACTTTCTGCCCTCTCTTCTTCCCGTCCCAGCCCCGAGCCGAGGGATGCGGCCGACAACACCCCGCCCGCAGCGAGACCGCTGCTGCGCGCCTGCGGAAGCTGAGGCGGCTGCTGTGCGTGGCCGCCATACCCCGTGCGCGCAGGCGGCCCCTGAGGTTGAGGTTCCCCTTCGGGCCCCGCGCCTGTCGCCCTCCGCCCGGCTCCGCTGTGCAGCATTATATATATATATATATATATATGTGGTTCTTATTTGCATCTGTCAGCTGCAATTTACCTGGAGTATGTGCTGTGATCATCCGCGGTCTGTATTTGCATTTTTCTAAGCTGCGGCCTTGTTCTTCATGTGTCCTCTTGTAGGTCCACCCCTGGCAACCCGCCATTCGGCTCGCCTGCCCCTCCGTGTCCACCCCTGCCGCTCGTGTGCTGCCCATTCCCCATCCCAGCCTCACCCCGCACATCCCGCCACCTCCGCCACGCACGGTCTGCACAGCCCAGCCTGGCCCGCAGATCCCGCCACCCCTGCCACGAGGGGTCTGCAGGCTGCTCCCAGGGGGGCCACGCCCAGCGCCGTGCTCACTGCAGCGCGGTCCCCGCTGATCCGCGAGCCTCTCTGGAGACTCGCGGCGCCCCCAGGATTCGGCGGCGAGCGAGGGGGGGAAGTGAGAAGGAGAAGGCCTTCTCAGAAGGCGGCGGAACTTCTCAGAAGCCCTCTCGTCTTCTGAGAAGCTGTTTGTGTCTTCGGGGAAGGCTCCGAAATCTTTTCTCAGAAGGCCCGGGGACTTCCGAGCCCTCTGGGAAGGCCCGCCCCTCCTCGCGTCCCCCCCTCGCTCGTCGCTGAAGGATACTGCCTCTCCTGGCCCCCCTCCCTGCCCCTTCGCCTCCTCGCCCCCCTTCCCCCTCCAGACCCTCCCCTGCCCCCCCCCCCTCCCTCTCCTGGTTTCGCTCTCCCTCCCTCTCGCCCTCCCCTGCCTGCTCTCGCCCCTCGCAGGCTGGTCGGCGGCAGCGGCGTCGGAGTGGTGCGGGAGCCGAGCCTGCTCCAGGGAGGGGCGCGCCGCATGTCTGCACGCGCGGGTCGGGGAGGAATAGAAGGAAGAGGTCCGAGGCGGGGATTTGTCCATATCCACCGCCGGGGGGATCGATCCTCGCGGAACCCTTCCCAAATCTTCCAGGAACCCTACGAGAACCCTCCCGGAACCCTTCCAGGAGGGTTTTCGCAGGGTGTCGGGAGTGTTCCGGCTGCTTCGAGAAAGGAAACCAGTCCCCAGCGGGCCCTGGAGTGCCCAAAGCTGGAGGAGAGAACGTCATCGTAGAAAAGCACACCGATGCCGATCGATGCGTTACAGTGGTCTTCCACCCCGAGCCAAGCCTCCAGGTCGGTTCGGGAGGTCGCCGCGGCGACCGCAGCGGCCACGATTCGGGTCGAGGCTTTCGTCAAGGAGTGTCATCAGACGTGGCTAATCATCACCGATTTGGTGACAGAGAGTTGTTAGTCCACGTCCAACATGGGCAGTCCTGCCTTTGCGGTCAGGGGTCGATTGTCGCGCAACCATTCGACGCCGCTTCCTCGTTTTCGTTTTTGGTTGCCCTCACGGGGTGGCTTCGTGACCACCGCTGGATTCGCCTCGGAGTCCTGGTCGGGACGCTCCGCGGGGGAGGTCCGGGGGGCGATGCCATACTGCTCCCCAGAGAACGACGGGCGCACAGCAAGCCTGTGATCAAACACAGCTACTGACTCGGATCTAGATGTGTGTGGCGTTGGGATCGCCAGAGCCTCCCCTCACGCTCCACCACGAGGTTGCTCACGCTTCGCAAGTCCGCACCGCTTGGGCTTCCCGGGAGCGCTCCAGGACCTCCCCCCCTGGTACAATTTTTCGGGGTTCTCGTTTTGAACAGGGCACTGAGGGTTCCACTTCCTCCTCCTCCTCCTCCTCCTCCTCCTCCTCTTCCTCTCCTATTTTTTCCTCCTCCTGCTCCTCCTCCTGTCTCCTCCTCCTTCTCCTCCTCCTCCTCCTCCTCCTCCTCCTCCTCGTCCGCGTCCTCCCTCCCCTCCTCCTCCTCCTCCTCCTCCTCC